TTTTACTTCCGGTGAAAACGTAAAACCGCCATTTCTCCGCCAATATTTAGCCTTTTTCAAAAATTTTTTTCAGAAATTAGAGATTATTCTTCGACCTCTGTTTTGACCCAAAAATCCAAATTTGAAGAAAATTGCCGACCCGAAGGTATACTGTAACCTTAAAGAGCTCAGTCGCGTTTTTTCTTTTAGTTATATTGGCCAGGTACAAAATTACCTCTAAATTGAAGGAAACCTAAAATAGTAGTTTAGTAAGATAGGTTAGCACCAAAGAGACAGAAATGAACCATAAAAGAACAAGGATGGTTGAGGATAGAGAAGATTAACACGGATTACAAACGACAAACTTGATGAATTTAGGTTGAACTTTTCAAGATGAGGTAGCTCGTTTAATAGAGCCAGGGGACTTGTTCCCATCTCCTTCTATGGGGCGTACCTGTAGGAAATCATGGTAGTGGAATTCAGCATTGCTAAGTCTTGGATCTGTTTTGCTGATTGTAACTGCAGTACCATGAAACTAGTCGTTCGTTGTTTAGTTCTAGTTGAGCAGAATGGAATGGGAACTTGTGTACCCAAGTGTGAAAAAGTAAACTTAAATCTGTAAGGCTTAAACTATGGCTCATATTGTTAGGACATTCCTAAGCCCCGTGGTCCTGGGATGGGGAGTCCCAGTGGCAGGATAAATACAGACAGACGGCCTTCAGCTGGAATGTCCCCAGGACCAAGAGGACCAAAGGTACATTTTCTTTATTAGTTCCAACAGTTTAGTGGTCATTTATTTCAACAGTGGGAGATTTCTTTTAACAGTAATAGACGCACTGTCCGTACAACTCCTTTTGATAGCAAGCCCCAGCTCTTGAGGTTGTGTTGGGTTTCATATTGTCTTATTACACACAGAGATTTTTCATTTCCATTTGACGACGAGGACGAGGTGGAAAATACAAAAATAAGTTTACAAGTTCTCTAAGTTGATTGTGTAATTGGTAACCGGTCGTTTCGCCCGGCAGCCAGTTCGCCACACGTTAGTTCGCCCAGATTAAATTCCCTCCGCCCGAACGGAAAGTTTAAAGAAGGATGTGATATTTTTTCCCTTTAAACTAGACAAGCGAAAAAGACGACATTGTGGGCATTACGAAACAAAATTACACAAAACATGTTTATTTCTCGTTCTCTAATCCATTGACTACGGAGCTCAGTAACAGTCTGGGTGAACCGACTATTCGTCCGGGCGAACTGACTTTGGGGCAAAACGACCGCAATTCTTGTGATTCGCGACCCAACGTTCTAAAAAAATACATGAAAAGCAACTGAAACTGGGTTTACGTCGATAGGTTGAAGGTGGGAAACCAGGAGCAGGCGGTGCGGCCAGTGAAGGAGTGTTGGCAAATTTCTTCAACTCGCTCCTCAACAAGAAGAGCGGGACTGGTGCGGCCATGGGGCGAGGCGGCACTGCCGTGAGAAGCGACGCCGCTGCCGAGTTGGATCGCATGAACAGAGCGAAGAAAATGGTGCCCCAGGGCAACGCGCCCAACGACACAACGGAGTCATCGTAGAAGGTGTAGCAATTCCTTTAGTAACCCATAGTAGAATATACAGACTGTTATTGAGCACGCATTGCGTGCCTGTGGAATTTATTTTGTATAAAGCTAGGCTATTATAATTTGTTCAGGTCCAGATATAAAGGTGTTCAGAAGACAAGTAGATGAGATGTATACGATACAAAGATATGTCGGGGGAATAGTCAGTAGCCAAGAGGAAAGCCGTGGTATGTGATCGATCGATCGTCGGAAGCTTTAAGAGAAAACGTAAAATAATGCGAGAAATGAACTGTAAGCTACAATGTAGAAAGCGGCTTTCCATGGTAACTAGCATAAGGTTACTCGAACAGGAATTTGTGCTGGTATGAAAAACCTTTTCCATTTTCCTTCGTCGTATTTGTGATGGTTTATGTCAGTGTGTGCGTTGCCATCACTCTCGTATTGTGTACTGATGGTTTTCTCAGCAACCCAAGAAAATAGAATTGGCTGATGGCGCCGTGAGGAAACTGAGGTGTAAGGTTGCTTGACTTCGTCGGCCGTTAAAGTCATGGTTTTGTTGTCAGCAAACGTTGATCAGATGAAGTAAGTAAGGCGCACGTTCGTCAAAACAAAACAAAAAAATGGTTACTACAGTTGTTAAATACAATTTAAGGCCGTGTTCTTGCTGATCTTGTCAGTGCAATCAAGTGAACGACGGCTGTTTTTGGCAAATCTCAGTAGAAAAACTCGGCAGAATTTTCGTCTTTTACTATCCTATCAAAACAAGGCTTGATCAGTCGCGAGTATTCGATAAATTGTCTTGTCAGTATGGCCAAATAAGGTTACATCATGTTGCCTAGTAACTTCGATGACACGCAAACCGCTGGCTCGGATAATTTTCAGAGATACAATTCCGATTGAATGATGTAGCTTTGCTCTCGTGCTTGAGACGATGAGAAATCAAATCAATTCTTTCCTTGTTCTCTGTAGTTTTGTTGACCCAGTTTGTGAAGGCCGAATTGAACGTAAACGACAGTTGCCGAAATAGAGTTGGATGAGGGTTTTGTTATTCCTTTATTTACTCTCATCCTACTCAACAAGATTGTGTACTCAATGTGGCTGCACGAAGTTGTACACGCGTCCGGCTCCTTCTCGCAACACGTTGCGCAACTCAACAACGTTTTTAAATAGCAATGTATTGACACTGCTGTGCGATAATTTGCGAGAAAATGTTTTCCTTAGTCATGACCTTAGGGTAAATTGTGGACATTTAACTGAGCATCCCTCACGCATCTTAAATTTAAATTATTGGTCTGAGATGTTTTTCTATTCATTCGGAGCTATCTCCTGTCAGTTTCTTAACATTTTATACGATCGATATTTTTCTGGATCGTAATTGTTCAGTACTAGTTTTGGGTCGGATAATGTTGTGTAATTTTTCGCCGTCGTCTGCCGCAGTAATTTGAAATAGAATTTTATACCTAAATTCCTTTATGGACTGTTTGAAAGCGGTTATATTGCTCCCAGTGGAGGCTTTCGCCTCCCAGGATACTATATAATGTTCTAGTAAAGGCTAGGGTATCCCTATTTGAAAACTGAAAATGGTGCTTGGAAAACCTTTGGTTTTGTGGAAACAACGAATTAATGTAACGTCACAAAAGTAACATATCAAACAAGAAAGGCCGTGTTTGAACGCATTTCCAAACACCGAGAAGAGAGTTGAAAATACGACGCGTAGCGGAGTATTTTTGACGAGCTTTGAGGTGTTTGGAAGTGTGGTCAAGCACCGTCGTTCGTGTTTGATATATCTTCCCAACCGAAGCTAGCCTGCGAACAGGCTCCCGGTGAGGACGGAAAAAAATTTCGGAGAGCGAAGCGATCGGGGCGGGACGGGGGAGCCTGTAGACTTTGTTTTTGATGTGCCTATCCGCCCTTGGTGATTAGCCTGTAACAAATCAGTCAATGAGGTAATTAGACCTGTCAAGAAGCTACATTTTCTGTACCTGCAAATAGTTCTAATCGACCTAATCAAATAGCCGGGCTGGGCGTCATGATATAGAGTGCAAGTTAGCAACATGTTCACGGAATATTTCAAACTTTGTACCTCCTGAACTAATACTTAGAGAACTTAAAACATATTTTGGAATACTGAAATGAGCCTGAAGAAATTATAAGCAAATGATAGAGGTGTCAAACTCTGCGAAGCGACAAGCAGATAACAGCGGAAAGTCCGGATGCCTTTGACCTCTAAAAAGACTTGCTATAGTACCGCCAAACGGCTCCACTCCACTAGCTTCTACTTCAAATTCCTTTCCATAACAGAGCATAAAGTACCCTTCAGAATCACTTGTGAAATAGCGAAAGTCGAGAGACCGAAAATTAAAAGAGAACGGCAAATGCACTATTGTGACGAACCGTAGGAGTCATGTAATTTTACAAAGATCTGTCAAATATTCATCTCAAAGAAGTCAACAATCAGCGATTTAACCAATCATATCATTATACCAGGAGCTGGTATCATAGAACGGGGGGATCAATGAAATGTCTACAGGCTCCCTCGCTTCGTTCGGGCTCACCGGGAGGCTGTTCGCAGGCTAAACCGAAGCTAAAACTAAGGAGAAAACGGAGAAATAAAATTATAAAAATCTATGCTACTTAGAATCAGATATTCAAACATCGTCACGGTTATGATTTCCTCTGTTTAAACTTGATGAATCAGTAATATGTTCGAGATAGTGGCTGACAACAGTTTCCAGCGTATTCTATCCCTAATACTCTGATGGTCAATACTTTCTTTCTTTACCAGACGATGCTAAAATAATGGTATCACACAAAAGCCTAATCATTGGTTAATGGGTTGTGGTCATACGAGCGGGCAAGATGGACCTATCTTGCCCGCTCGGCACTACCCGCCACGTCCCGCAAGAAACATTTTTTCCCCGAAAGCCATATAATAAATCCTTTATTGACCAAGCTTGTTCAGTCAAGATGGCTTGATATTGGCCTCATTCTTGTTTTGCGAGTTTATGGACCTCGACTCCGTCTCGGTCTATAAACACGTAGAAAAAGAACTTGGCCAATATCCAGCCATCTTGACCTCACACTTGGTCAATAACCCATATGTATTGTTTTTAAAATATCGGCGCCATTGCTATGGTAACCTGTTACGACCACAACTTGGTCATAAGCTTGTTCGCATTTGTGTATTACTAATATGTTAACATCTCTTGGTAAAAAATGTACCATCGATTCCCCAGACCGTAAGATTAACTGTTGGAAAATGCTGGAAAGTGTGGCCGGCCACCTTGACTATTACTTGTTCCTGATAACTTACAATTCAGCAAAGTTCAATATTTGCGAACGATAAAGCTTGTTTTGGAATAGTTTTGCTGATCAAAATACAGACTTCATGACCGATGTTAGTTAGGTTATTTATTGTATCTCTGTGTACAGTCTGCCCAAAGGTAAAAAGCTGTAAAATCGTCTAATAAACCGTCTTAAATGTATCCCAACTGTCTTGTGTTCTGTTGACTGTAACTGTGTGTGTTCAAAATTCTCTCCTCTTATTCTAGAAATGTTCTTATTCCATGCTCTCTTCTATTCTTATGTGTGCTGGGCGGACAGCGCGATTAAGCTTCGGTAAAAGAACATGGAAACGAGGCGTGTGAATATATATTATATATATATTATTATATTATATATATTATATATATATATATTAGCCCATTTACCAGTTGCCTTAAGCCTCTTTATCAAAGCGAGGCCTGGTGCACAACCATTCATATGAAAATGAGTTTAATATGCGTGTGAATGAAAGCTCATTTTCAAGTGAAAGGATGGGCACCAAGATTCGCTTTGGGAAAGAGGCTAAAGCTAATTCGGAAATGGCCGATTCCAATATGGCGATATCTGAAAGGGACTAGAGACGTCTACAGCTCCAGTTTGAAGTGATATTCCTGATACTAGTTTTGTAGCAGGAAACAAGCAGAGTAGAAAAAAGCTGATCTTTTTTTGGCTGCGACGTAGGCGCGTATCGGGTAAAAGCCTCAACCTGAAAGCAAAGTTCGTATTGTAGTTTTTTACTTCAGAAAATAGAATAGGATGTTCTGCTATTTTTCGCTGAAATACGTGTATTTCAGTTTTACTTGCATTTAGCCTGGTTGTATTTTCTCCCCCAAAAAGCTCAGTGTTGGTTTTAATTTTATAGTTATTGACAAAATAACCCGAACCATAATAACGTACAGCTCGACAGCTTTCAGCTGATGGTCCTTACGTGTTCCTCTCGGCACGCTTTCTCTTTAAGAACGTTACAGATCGCGTGGTTGTTTGGTTGCCGACACACATGGGGCCGTATTATTGCCAAGGTTGCTTGAACTTCGTTCTACATGGAAAGAGAGATTAAAAAAGAACAACAGTTGCAACAAAGTTGAAATACTGCTCGTCGCGATCGTTGTGTGGGTTTTCACCCTTAAAGTGAGAAACTCTCGCTGTAAGCCCAGGTGTCATCTAAGCTAAGGATATCTTCGTCGCTTAGTCCAGAATTAACGTTGGTTAAGAGCGGCAACTTGAAATCAGTTAATACAGTGTAATCCCGATTTCTCTAACCCTGGATTTTTTGTTCCCTTAGAGATTTGAGAAATTGGCTTTCCACTGTACATGGCTTGTATTTAATATGATTTGAAGTTCAGCGTCGGTTTGGGTACCAGAGACGTTTCTTGCGCGGTTTCTGACCCGGATTTCATACATACATACATTTTTTTTACATACATTTCCAGATTCGGTCGTGTGTATGGATCAATTAGAAAGGAACCTTGAGCATTCAAACAACAGAAATGGCCGTTTAAACCAGGAGTAAGATATCTGTTCTTTCGTCCGTCATGTAGTTTGTCACGGTGTGTCACACGATAGCTCTGACGCGCACACAGTTTGAAGAAAACCTCTAATTTATTTCCATTTTGTTTTTACCATGACCATATTTATGTTCCAAGCAAGCCCGATGCTGGAGGTCGTACACAAAACAACAAACATACCAAAACTAATCTTACAACAAAGGCGCTAGCGACTCGCTCCTTGCAATGTGATGGAGTGAGTCGCTCGGCAGTCGAAACTTCGTCTGGTTTGTTGTTATACTTTTTATTCTAGCTCAAACTTACCAACAATGAAATGAGTGGCAAGCCTATTGTACAGGTCTCCTGCTTCTTTTAATTTAACATTCTTCCCGAAAATATTGTACAGAGTGTTCAGAAAACGAATCAACACAACTTGAGAGGGGAGGGGTACGGCTAGTCCGCGCTCCCCCCGCTTTGACCAGTACATCTGGCATTTCCCTCCTAAATCAAACTAATTCAGTCACCTAAGTGACTTGGGTCTCATTTGGTACATTCTTTATCAAATAAAGTTAAACTTCAATATACATACATATTGACACAAAGTGTTCGGACGCCGCTCACTTGTGTGGTTTTGCTGCACACTGCGAAATTTTGCTTAACAAGTAAGCATGCTTTTTTTTTTGTTAACGAGAATGTTTTGCAAAGTGGTTAAACTCCGAAGCTAAAGTGCCTCAGGAAATCGAGTTGCTGTTGAAGTAACGTAGTTGTTTTAGTTAATTTTGTTATACTACAGTCTAGTCCTTTGAGGACCGTTTGTCTTTTGTTGCTCTCTTCTTCTTTCGTCGACGTCGTCGCTTGCCGCCATCTTTCAATACGTCCACCGCGTTTGCTTCGTCCGGAATGCACTCGTACCAGATTTTTAAATACTTGTACACGTTCCCGCAAGAGTTGTCGTCGAAGAAAATGTTTGAAGCCACCACTTCGCAGGCTTGTTCGTTTTTACACTGTCCATTAACTTTGCTGATAGTGTTTTCCGCGCTCGTCTCGCACAGTCTGTCCGCGGTGAGCCCAGCTGGAATCTTGGGACACGTCACGTGATCGTCACGACCCCAGAATGACTTGGTGACCTTGATGAGTTCGTATTGTTTGCATTGTACCCAGCCCTTCTCGCCTTCGCAGATTACAGTGAAATTCTGGGAGGGAAAACGAAACGTGTTGGTGACAAGAGAGAAGAACTGTATTACGCACAGGGCAGTTTGAAAATATCGCTCGTAATTAGTCTTAACCTTCTTCTTTGGTCTTTTTTAACTTAGAGACAATTATTTTAAGTTTTCCTTCAATTTAAAAGTAGAAACTCAGGGAAACTCACCGGCATAATCGGTTCGGGTCCAGCGGGACCCATAGGACCTTGGGAACCTGGTAAACCAGGGGCTCCGGGAAGTCCGGCAGCACCGGGGGCACCCTGCTCTCCGGGATCTCCCTTGTCTCCGGGTATACCGGGAGGTCCGGGTGGACCGGGAGGTCCAGGTGTTCCTGTCGCGCCCGGAGCACCGTCTTCTCCAACATGACCAGGTGACCCGGCAGGTCCGCTTAATCCGGGTGGTCCTGGTTCTCCGGGTGCTCCCGGGGGTCCGGGTGGACCGGGCGGGCCGTTAAGGCCTTTCAAGAAGAAACCAAGAGTGAGGTTTTGTTCGAGCAGCTGACTGACCATGAGCTGGTCAAGAAACGGTTGCGTGATACGGTCACCTATCTTCGGCCAGTCGGGAAGGATTTGTTGTGAGTGCTGTTGGATAAAAACGCACGAGATTACTGTGTGATACAAATACAGGTCGTTTAAATCATGAGTTAAGTGATCTAAGAGCAGAAGCAACATTTAGTAGAAACCTGCCAGATCGAAAGTAGGGATGAATTAAATCCCGAGAACAGAGTTATTAAGCAATACACCTCAACGCGGTCGACAGCACGAATCAACTCTTGATTCTGAAGTAAAAGGTCGGAAAAAAAATTCACAACGATCGATACCTGAAAGCGTTTCGTGTCCTGTTTATTCGCTTTTACTTTTTTCCTCTTATGGATACAAAAACATTACCTGACTTAGAATTGATCATCTAGTACCTGCTAAGATCGTTTGACTAGCCGCAAATCACATCACTACTCCGTCAAGTTGTCTATATTGTTAAAAAATAGCCAACTCCTTAGACTTCACTGGTAACTTCTACGACACGGTGATGTATTCATCGGTGCCTGTTTTGCTTTGTGTTTTAAACATTCTTGGTGTTCACGTTAAGCTTAGCAGCAAATTGTATTAAGTCTGAACGACTCACTTGTAAAATTCGGATGGAATTTTCGACAAGGTCGTAATAGATTTTGATTCAACTTGAACTTCTCAGGCAGAATATCAATAACTAAGAAAGGTCTTTTGTTGGATAAACGAATCAAACTAGTAACTTCAACCCTTCATCCCGAAAATGATCAACATGCAAGTTCCCATCACAATATCAATATGTTTTCCAGCTTACGGGTGATGGGAAAAAAGATGAACAATCTTAGGCGATATTGTCTCGAAGTACTACCAAAATATTGGATGTAACTGGTTAAATTCAACTTATGGCTCACTAGAATGAATGGAAAATCGAACAACTGGCACTGAAACAGTTTAACTGGGCGACAAAATCTCTAGCGAAGATAACGTTTTCCACACGTAGTAGAATGAGATGGATTTTTCGAAACATTACTTCAAATATCGCATGTTCCGTCGTGAGCCTTCCCATGATAAGGAAGTTGTGCGGAATTCACTGTTTTTTGTAGCTCTGATCTCTCCTAAATCTTTGAGTGCATCCTTGGCTAAATTATTTAGCATTCGCGACTAAGGAAATGGACATTGTTTTCTAATACTTTAACTTCGTAAATGTTTTTCATGTCGTTTTATGTTATATTTTAATTCACACAAGCTAAACGTGCACGGCGTTTTTCTGCTTTTTACATCAATTACGATTTTCAATAAAATTTGCACTTCGTGGCATGTAAGACAAAGGGAATGTCAAAACTTACATATTGTCGCACAAGAAGGCAATAAAGTTGTTAAAAAACCTAAACATGACCATTTTAGCAGAAGATTAATAATAACAATAGCAGAGTGTTTACCGAGGAGGTCAGCGTTTAGCACGAAACTGGCGTGTCTTCACGCACACGAAAATAACGGAGGTTAACATTTAACGCGCGTGCAATTCGATCCCGGAAAGTTGTTATTATCGGGTCAGAGTATTTTGGTTATTTTGTCTGTGCAAAGAAATCAAAGGCGTTGTGGAGAAGAGATATTGACTTCAAGCGAAGACCATTAATTTGGCTGGTACTACCTGTTCATTGTTTACATCAGACAAATGTTATGCATCGACAAGCAAGCAGCAAAGAGCTGGAAAATTATACGAAAAAAACGAAGAAAAATACTGATTAAATCGAAAAGCTCGTTTCGCTTTGAACTTTCTTTATACTTGTTATGCTTTTTTTTTTTCGTTTGCAAAAATAGATCTTTACGTTTAGTCTTGAATAAGTATGTTCGGCTTATGGTAGCAGTTAGACGATAATTCGAAACCGTAAGAATAAATGAACCCTTAATAACATGAAAGAACAATGTCGGGCCCAATTATGTGCACGAGAATTCAACTTCAAACATTGAAGGCTTAAGGCCCTGATTTTCTAACTGCAAGATCGGTCAGTGAACTGGTAAGAATACACGGTCCGTTTGCTTCGTTGCAGTCGATATATTTTTGCAGGCAAAGTTTAGTCAAAACATTTGGCAAAAAAAAACGTCTTGCATTCTGGCAGTTTTGTGGGTAAATCCACCATTAAGTTCTTGAATTCACGGTTGTGGGTCAAGAAGAAATAACACAACGAGCCACCGAAAAACGACCTGTTCCGCGACTAAGTTAATCCGTTGGCGCGTATTAATAATACATAATGAGATTTCTAGTGAACAGTGGCGAAAATAAGCTGTACTTACCGAACATTCTAGCCAAACTAGGCCCGCAAATAAGGCAAGAAGGCAGCCTATGCCTCCTCTGAGCCCCATAACCTGGCGGTGTAATGAACAAGAGAACAAGTGATCAGTGATTCTCGAACACCCTGATTTGTCATTAATTATTACCGAGTTGTGATTCATCTCATCGGCAAAGTATCTTAGGCGCCAAATTTTTTTTCCCAAATCCTGAAAAAGCACTAAGATTTCAATTCCTTTTTTAAGCCAAAATGTGTTAAATAAATCTCCATTTTTGACCAAAACGTTTCTTAGTGTCTTAACTATAACTCAAAGTTGATCAAGCGTTGACGGACCAAACTTACGGTAGTTAAACTTAAAACTCTGTAGCCAAAAATCGAAATTTGGCAAAGCAGGATTATTTAAAGTTACATTACATCAATATATTTCCCTTTTCATGTTAGGTTAAGTTTTAAAACGTAAACGACGAACGTCCACAATCCCTCTACCAAGTAAAAACTTGGGAAAGAAATGTCAAACGCAATAATAATATTAAGTCACTTGTTCCCTGTTAACATATAGATTATTCAATAAAGAAGGTTGTGTAGCTCGACTATTATGAACATCAGCCCAAGTTAAGTCAACCTTCACTGCCCACATCCTGTTGCAAGATTCCTCTCTACATCGAAACACAGAATCCTCCTTGTCCAACGATCGCGAAAATTTCACGCGATAAGGAAAATAGACCTTATCCAAACAGATGGGCGAATGTGTCCAAGCTATGCCAACGAAATTCTTGTTGATGTCCCATTTGTTTGGATGAGGTCCACTCCCGTACCGAACTCAGACTTGTAAAAATACTGCAGCGTTTCGTAAGCGGAAAATCGAGCGAAATGTCCGCGGAGAAGGAATCGCGTTTTGTAAATAACGAAGTTGGTTTACCACTTAATTCTCCCCTCTCCTTTGTGCGGTAACACAGTAGTGGTTATTCCTTCAGTGCTCCAGTTCAACACAAGATGTTTACGAAGTTTGCCAAGGAGACTAACCTGTGACAAAGCTTTTTGTTTCCGTTGGAAAAGAAGCCCTGTCAGTCGACGTTACCGTGAGGTCTGAAACAGGCTCAGGTCTCAAATGTTTCAATACTGGCGCTCGGGGGGCTTCCGCGCATGTGCGTTGCCGCCGTCCAACCACCTTCCCGTGCTTGACGTGGCATTACAAAGGAGGAAATTTTATTTGGCATGACGTAATGCAAGCTTAACATGCTTATGTCTCGGCGGGCCAATCAGCGCGCGCGGTGCAGCTGCCCGTAGCGTGAAACAATGGCTAAGTCATGGACCAAATCGACTCTTAGGTAATATTGATATAATTGGATAGCTATTTAATAATAAAACATAACCTCTGGTGAACTGTCAGGTACGGGTTACACACAACCAATGGTCTTAGACGTGTTTTAACACCTCGTAACCAATCAGGCGCGAGCTCTGGCGTCAAGTTGTACTAAGAACACAAGACCTAATTGACATCACAGAGCGGGTGGCGCACAATCCGGAAAAAAAATATTTTCTCGATTTTTTTCGATCCGAGATAGAAAGTCTTTGATTTTATTACAGATTTTGATTTAACTGTGGTACTTTTCACTTATGACAGCTCGAGCATGCAACAATTATTGATTGAGAGGTAAGACTGTCGAAGCTAATGAACGTTTAGTTTAGAAAAGCTGTCCGTTTGAGAAACGAGTCATCTGTGTAGTTTTGTTTTGACTTATAAGTTGCTCCACTGAACATTCAATGAGCAAATAATAAATTGTTTTCAATTTGTCTGTCCGGTTTTTTGTGCTCTAGATTAAACGATTCCATTAAGAAAAATTGCTTATTTGGCAAAAATGTGATGATGTGATCAAACGCCTGACTAAATCGATCCGTCGAGGAGAAATTCTGTTACCTGAGCGAGATTAATTTGTATCAGACTTCTTGAAACAGCGATGACGGTATAGAATAGACTTCCATTGTAAACATAGACATGTCTCGGCGTTAAGAGGTTCACTTTGGCACGGGCTAGTGAAGGCTTACAAAGCCCAATAGAAAAACAGACAAACTTAACTCCGTGAAAGATCGTTTGTCACATCCGATGGTTATTATGCCGAAGAAATGACCGGTTTGCACTCGTGAAATCATTGAAGAGGCATAACCTTTAGTCACAAAGCGTCGCTTCAGTGGCGAAGCGCTGTTAATCGTGCGCGCAAGCGTGTAAAAACGTGCGGTGAAGCGTTTTGTCTTTGCGCTCTCAGGAGCTCCAATCAGCTGTGCATTTTCGAAGGAACTGCGCTCAGACATTACGTGAAAGTCTGTAATGTCCAATTATAAATAACTTGCTTTTTGTTTTGTGTTTTTGTTTGGTGCTAACAGCCTTTAGGGTTGTTCGATTCATAGTGAGCTCTTGAAACACTGGCAATCATCAAACAAGCACCAGGATTTCAAAACGCACTGGAGACCATTGCGTACACGTGAATGTACTCTAATGTACTCATTTATTATTTTTAGCGATTTCCGCGGGCGCAGTTTGACATTTGGCCCTCATGCTCCACAGCACAGTCGCACAGTGCGGCGGTTTCTTGGATCGAGCCAGTCTATGTTCGGAGCTTACCAGTGTGGTTTTGTTGTGTTTTTGGACAAGACACTTCACTCACACTTGGTCTGTTTTACAGCCAAGAGTGAAAGTGTGTACCGAACTGTTCGCAGGAGGGAGGGGAGAGAGTGGCAATATAGTAGGCTTGTCAGAGGGGTAGAGCGTGCTTCAGAATCATCAATCGACGAGCCCACTTAAAAAAAATTAGGAGACCTATTGTCTTTCTCCAGCTTCTCACGGCTCTGGAATCCTAAATTCTTGAATCTGCGCGCGCTCCAGCGGTCCAGATCTTCCCATCCGGGTCCCGGTTACGGACCGCTCCGAAATTTTCCAACTTTAGCAACTTTTCAAGCTTTTTGTTACACCGTAAGACACCGTAAAATGTAAACATTCCGCGCAGAGTCAAACAAAGCAGCAAGTAAAGCCATTTTTTATTTTACGTGAATGTGTGACGCTTAGACTTAGAGCTCATTACTCAACTTAATTTCGAGCCGTGCCTTTCCTTTTCATTAACATCAATTTTTGTCACATAACGGACATTTTTGACCAAAAACAAACCTTGTTAAACAAAATATTTCCCCACACAATGTCACATGTAAAATCAGCTCTACAAATTCTGCAAACAGTACCGCTTTTTGCGCCCGAAAATGTCAAACGCACTCGTACGCCAGATTTGACCTGAACAGCTGCGGCCTCGGGCCGAGCCCAAGACCTCTAGATCTGGCACAGTTTTTCCCAATACGGACCTTCCGGCCTGGCAAATAACATATAGATATATATTTCTGTTTAGTGAAATATCTTCACAATCAATAACAAAGGAAACCTAGTGAACAGATATGCCTTTTCTTCTTTTGCTTTTTTTTATTTTTATTTTTTAAAAACCCCTTTCCCATGTTTATGATATGCCTTGATTTACCTTCTTGAGAAGTATGGTAGGGGTGTAGTGAGACATGTCTAAATATTGTTCTAAAGCTGGGGCGGGGAAGAACTTTTAAACAGGGTGGTTCAATTTCGTTATCAGTTAAATCTCTTATTCCATCAAATCACTTATACAGAAAAGTGGAACCTCGATTAAACGAACCTCTGTGTAACGAAGTCCTCGATATAACGAACGATATTCCTCGCCCCAGTAATGGTTCAAAATATATGGAAAAGAACCTCGATATAACGACACCTCGTTATAGCGAACATATTTTGCCAGTTCCTTGGGCCTTCGTTATATCAAGGTTCCACTGACTGTATTTCGTACTTTATTTTGGTCCGAAAGAATAAGAAATATATTGCGGGCTGATGTAGCATTTCATTCAGTTTATATATTATTCATTTACACTTGCTGCAGTGTTTCAAGGAAAAAAAATGCCTTGAAGACATAGCGACCGAAGTCTTTTATTTTTTTCAGTTTTTGATAGCCTAGCGCGAAGGTTGCTAACAACTGCGTGGATCCTGTTTTGCTGTACATTTTGTGCGCTTTGATGTATCCCACATAAATTATCTCGGTGGGAGCATCGCTCCGGTCACGCGGAGTTTATGGGTTCCAACCTGTTGAAGCCCTGAATTTTCAGTTTTCAGGTTTACCTCGCTGCAGTTGCTTAAATCGCAAACAACTGCAAGGGTCATCTAACAACAAAATGAGACAGAAATAACCTCTGACAGTTGCTGCGTCTTATCACGCAAACTCTTCTGTACATTGAGCGAAAGAATACCCCTTGTACAAATACAGATATGTTATAAGGTCTGGAGAGGATCTGCTTTTGTCCAAAATGGATATCAACTTTGATAACTGGACGGCACCCCGCGCCAAAAATGTTGATAACTATCACATCCCCCGTACAACTTCAACCCGGCAAGGTTCACCACTCTGAATAAGTGGGATGGTATTTGTAGGTAGGCCGCGAACGGGTGTAATGGACACGGCAACGCCCAGCGTAGTTTCAAAGGATAAATACAACGTTTACAAATGCAACAGAATTATCAAACAAAACTGCAAAGTTATATAATGGAGCACTGGAACTGGGACAAACGAGTAAGTAAGAACGAGGATAAATAAATGAATTAGATGACTTGGTTTATCACTTCTTTAGACGAGTTGCGAAATGGAAGAAGTGGTATCATCATCTCAAGTACGTGCGTGCCTTAGGTAAACTTCTCAATAGTTTCGTAATTTTTCAAGGTACTGGTCGTCGCCGCAGCAATTAGGGTCGACAGCCCTGGAGTCCAACTCTGACCGGGATCGTAGAGTTGTCAGTGTTCTTTCCCTAGGCACTTCTCTCTCCTCTCTCCGCCCTGAAGTCTAAATGGTAACAAGCACACTGTTAGGGGAGGGCCCTGCATGTAGGAGAAGGTGTAGGGATAAATCCCTTTTTTCAGCCCAAACCTCGCCCAAATCCTATTCCCTAGCCTGGTATTTGTCCAATCGTAGCCTCAATCCCTATCAGACCGGAATCCTATTTTCTTGTTGAAAAAATAGGCGAAACCCAGTTCCCAGCTTACACCTTCAGACCCCTCTTAGGGTAACCTAAGAGAAACGTAGAAGACAGGGGTTGATGTTGATGTATCAGTGTAAAATTACTGACGAAGGTCTGAAGAATAACAAAACTGATCACCGACGTAAAATTCAGTTTTCTAACTTGTACTACAGGAAATGTGTCACGATCGGTACGGAGAATTTGTGCGGAGAAGCGTCGCGTGACAAACTTTGTAACCACTGGGAAGAAGACTACGAGAGTTTGGAAATATCAGGCTAGCGTGCTTAGCAAAACTCGGAGAGTCTCTTCAGAAGACTTTGTACCAGAATACAGGCCTGTTTTTCTAGACATAGATAGTCGTTTCTTATGGGACAGCATGGAAGCGAATGGGGCTTAAAAGAAAGGGAAGAACAAAAAAAGACAAAGAGCGGAACAAGAACAAGATTCCTGTCAAATTAATCAGCCTGTAAGTACAAAAACTGTTTGCGTATGTTTAATAGCTACCATGATTATCATCACAGTCAGTTGTTTTCAGTGAATTAGGAATGTCAGTTTAACGTCCATTTAAAAGACTTAAAGGGCAGGGACTTAATTAGTGTATTATTTGTTAAAGGACCTGGCTAGAATTGAATGATGAAACAAGGGTTCCCCATTTTTGCTGTACAGTAAACTTACGTTCATTGGTGAATGCAACACTTGCGTTAGGGGAGCAAAAAATAGTATCGCAACACAGCCCGTCAAAGGCGTTGAATTTCCGCAAATCTCTACTATTTCCTTTCCTTTTTCCGCGTGAAAGTATTATTAGAAGTGTGCCGACAGGCTGTTAGTTGTAGAGCAGCCAGAAAAAGTTGCATGACCCTTCCTCATTTCCTCTCTCGTCCCTTTGGTATTGCTTCCAGCTAACCTAATTTCTGGAACAGGCTAATCGCAACGATGGTTTCCTAGCTAAGCGTGCAACCTGTTCTAAAGCTCTTCTTCATGTCTCAGACTGAACGACAAGCAAAGTAAAGCTACCACGGCCTTGAAGTGGGGTCTAGTTGTTATAACGAGTATGCCAATGTCGTTCAAATTCTCGAGGGAATTACTTTCGTGAAACGTTTGTTCCATCTAAT